TTTAAAAAATTTTGGAACTTAAGTATAATTTTAAAAATTTTAAGAATTTTTTAAACTTATCCCACTAAAATTTTCTTAATTTTCTTAATGTATAGAGTATATTAATATAATTTTAAACATTTAAATGCTAACTTTTGGCAGCTCCTTTTCATGCCTACTTTTGTTTTCGTAAGCCTTCGTCTTATTCGTCCAGACTTCCGGTCCAATCCATGCGTGCAGCCACCAGCCCATCTTCTTTCTATTATTTAGTTTCTTTGTTAGTTCATTTGGTATATTCACCAACAAATCACCTTATTGGATTCAATCATTGTTCAAATTAAATTTGATAAAAGATTATACTGAAGCTAAGGAGAGGTAATTCATTAACTAAATTTTTTGATAGTAGTATTAGCACTAATCTAAAATCAGATTTTTTATATTAGAAAATTAGTTTAACTCTTGTAGAATTGATGGTTATTTGGTGTATTATTTATGGACTTATGTAGATTTTTTTTGTTTTGTCTTGTGTCACCACTCAACTATTTTGAATTTTTGTTAAAGCTTATTTTCATATTGGCTATCTGAGATTTTTGGTTAGTGCTATTTTTCTTCCCTAAGATTAAATTGCTTTAATTGATTTCTTGAAATTCTAGTTTGGATTATATTTTGAATTTTTGAATTATATTTTTATTATGTGTAGTTCATTATCTCATTTGTTATGAACTTAATGACGAACTCTTATATTTGAATCTAATTAGACAAATTTATTTTTTAATCAGTTATTAATATGTTGACCTTAGTGAGACAAAATCCTAGCTCTGCCCCTTGAGACACTAGAGGCTATTTGTTTGATGGGTATTGGAGGTTTTGAAAGGATGAATTTAAGTAACATAATTCGATAAACTATTTAATCTTATGTTTATTTATGACTTAATCCCATGCTAAAATGTTGGGCAGTCTAGTCCAACCCGAGCTATCCACTATCCATGCATTTAGGACTTTTTGTCGACGTAAAAGGTAGGACACCTAATAAGAGATTTTTGAGAAATGTTAAAAGTGTACAATCATTAAAATTTTCGTAAACTACTCAAATTTTCCAAAAAATATAAAAAATCCAATCTGATTCCAATGATCAAGAATATGATGTTTGGATTTACATGGTTTGTCATGATCAAATAGTTAAATTTTTATTTTTATTAAAATAATTGTATGTTATCAATGACACGTAATATTACGAATCAATAATAGTACACCATGTAGCATAAAAGAACCTATTGTTTCAAAGTGTTAATTAGTCCGAGTAACGGTTATTGAAAGTTACTAAAATAATAAAATCCACTAAACATGTGATATCATTGGTGACATTAGCCTATGGGCTCTTAAGTGTCATTTTTTTGACACAGTGCCTCCAAAGTAGGGGTGACAATTTTTAATACAACACGATAATCCGATATGAATAAATGAGTTTGAATTGACAAATTTTTTGTGTCAACTCGTGTATTGACACGACTTGTCAACACGAAGTGTTAATGAGTCATGTTTGGGTTCAACCCGTTTAACACGAATTGATCCGTCAACATGAAGTTTTTAACTCCAAGGAGATTAACTTGAACTTTTCGTTGTATGTATGAGTTTTCATGTTTTGATGGCTTATTTTGTCCATTACTTATGATGTTTAATTTGGTTGTGCGATGTACGATTAACATATTTAATTAGTATTATAGAAATCAAATATTAATTATTTATAACTGTTTATCAAACACTGACATAATTATTGTATAAAAAGATAATATTACTCATTATTATTAAGTTAATTTTTAATTTGTAGAAAAAGTATGAGGAGAGATTCAATTAAGTAAAAATAAAATTTTAGTGTTAAATTTTTTTTTCAAAATTTATGTGGGTCAATACAAAAATGAATACGAACACGACACAAAAATAAACAGGTCAACTCGACACAACACGATTAATTAAATGAGTTGGGTTTAGATTGACTAATGTTCATCACGACTAATGTTCGACACGACACGAACCGGACATAATACGACTTGATTGACACCCTTACTCCATAGGTTTATTTATAGTAGTGTTTACTATTGTGGCCTTGCTAGCCCGGGGTTTAGGCAGGAAAAAAAAATGTGATATCATTGATGACGCAATATTGTCGTTGCAATGAATATTTTCTCCAATTTGTGGGTCACAAGCGTTTTTCAAAATTTATATTTTTTTTTTCAATTCAAAAAAATGAGTTGTACTTATTTAATGGGCACACTAGCAAAAAAAAATTATAATATAATGTGGTTTAGTGGTGTTTATAACTCCATCTTTCCGTATAGTATTAAAATTTTCTCACCAGCATGGATAGAGGATATTAAAATCAAATGCATGAGAATATGACTTGGGTTAGTCAAGAATTTTTGGGTATAGAGAAGGATTTTTGGGGCAGCTAGATCACATAAGTTCCTCTTAAATTTATGGTGAGAATCCAAATATTAAAATTCTCTCTTTCCCTTCGGTGGTGTTGTGGCGACCGGCTTGATTATTTCAGATTAGTAATTATGATTTAAATTAAACATTCTATAACGGATGAAAATTTTAAGGTAATGTCTTGAGAAGGTTATTATGCCCAATCGCCCCTGATCAACATTTTTAACCAACAAAAAAGAAAAAGTAGGATGGTTATAGAGTCATGTTGGGTCATGTTTAGGTCGTATTTGTTATCAAAAATCAAGGTGTATATAATTAGATTTAAGAAATTTAATAACTGTTGCAAATATAAATTAGAAAGCCTATTGTTTAAAACAAAATAATGTACTCACATAGATGCAAAACAACAACAACGATCAGAAGCAAAAAACTAGAATAAATAAATAATAAATTTGAGTCTTGTATCCACAGTCTTTTTAAGACAAATTAGTCTCCTTTCGAAGCTCAAAGTTGATGAGTAATTGTCTCCAAAAATAGAATGTATTTACATTCTTAGATAAATAACACTTCAATCTCTAAGTTCCAACGAATACAATTTTGTGTCTTGTATTTGAACCAACAAAGAAGAACAACGATGCAACAACATGTATGCAGAGGGAGATAAATATGAAAGTCAAGAAAAATTGTTCTTGAATAAAAAAATTTAAACAGTTGCCCAAATTGAAGAAGAATAGCCTAAAAAAATCTTATACAAATGTCTCCTAAAAAAATATTAATATTACCCATTGAAATTTATAATTTTTAAGTAATAAATAAAATCTTATTCATTTATAAGACTTATGAATTTATCATCTCTACTATCACTCAATCCAATAACACAACATAATTATAAACTTAATCATCATATTTCCAATCCACCTTATTCATGTGCAATAAAATATCTCAAGTAAAAAAAAAATACTAACAGAATATAATTAAATTCACAGTCTTTAAGCGATAAATAAAATCAACAAAATTTTACTTATTTATAAAACTCATAAATTTATCACCATTCAACCCCAAATGATACAACTTAATTATAAATTTAATCACCAAATGTCTAATCCTCCACATAATACACAGAAACACACCCACACACATTTCTTTTTTGGTTACCAGCAAACCCTCATAACCAATAATTATTTTTATTAGAACTATAACAATTCAAGTTTTAAGATAAAATAATAATAAATTAATATCTAATTAAAAAATGATAAAAATCACTCGCATCTCTTGAATTTGGGCAATATTATAAAGATATCTTTTGACATTTTATAAATAACATGAAAATCCCTAAGATTTGAAATTCATTACACGGAAACCCCTTTTGTCTCCCTCCCATCATCGTTACTAACAAAAATTGGTGATTTTTTCCCAAAAAACTTTATTATTTTATAATTGTCCTTCTTTAAATTTTGCACCAAAAAAATTAAAAATTAAAAAATTAAATAAAATTTGACTTAGTACCCAAAAAATTGATATAATTTAGTACCCAAAAAATTAATTAAATTAATTTGATAACAATAAAAAATAATTTGATATTAATGTGAAAAAATTGAATATAAATTGAACAAAATTAGATTTTAATTTTTGATAAAATTATATATTAATTTACAATCTAAGGTTTATTTTATGTTGAATATTATTTAGTGTTTATAGTCAATGTTATATTTTTTATTTACATTAAATGTTATTTATAAATTAAGAAACAAGTGACAAAACACATGACGTCAAATACATAAAAATTTTGAATTAGTTTTATAGAATAAATAATTACATAACACGTAATTTCATCTGTTTTATAGAATAAATAATAATAAAAACAACACATGAGAAGTAAAAAAAAAAGATAATAGTATGAGAAAGAGAGTTATACGAGAGATGAAAGTCTTAAAATTGTAAAAAAAATAAAAATCTAATTAGAACTATTAGATCAAAACGATTTGAGCAACGAAAAACTAACTACTTTATTATATAGATAATTGTGTGTAAAATTATCACTATTACCTCTACAACTCTCTATAATGTAATGTAAATCCCACTCTCAAAACAAAAAAATAAAATAAAATGGAGTAATGTAATTGAATCTAATGTTTTAATCACTTCATTATTGTTATGAAATTAGTTAAATAAATTTATTATTAATCCAATGATAAATAATAAAGTAAAAATAATAAAAATAAATTAAATTTACATATAATTATTGAAAAATTAGCGATGGTGCACATAAAAGCAGTCCTAACAAAACTGTCCCATTGATTCCGCTGTAATTGACACTTGTCAACATCATCTTCACAGTTTGTACGGTAAAATATCAGCCCCATGAAGTTCTTCACCTCACACATTCTCTCTCTCTCCTCCCTCTTCCCTCTACAAACACTCCTCTTTGTCTTACAACTCCTCCATCAACACACCCACCCGCTTCTCTCTAGACCTCTTCTCTTTCTCTTTCTCTATCTCTATCTCTCTTTCTATATAGACACAAACAGACACCCCCACCTAGAGGATTCATCTTGTGGTGGCTCTGTTTCTTGCTCTGTTTTTCTAAGTGTACAATGACGGACATAACAGACGACATAGCGGAAGAAATCTCATTTCAGAGCTTCGATGATGACTGTAGACTACTGGAAAACCTTCTTAACGACGTCCTCCGAGGGGAAGTAGGACCCAAATTCATGGAAAAACTTGAAAGAACTAAAATCCTCGCTCAGGTCCTCTGTTCTTCTCTGTTTTTCAGCTTTGTCAATGAAGTCTTTCTTTCCCAAATACCCCAATACAATTCTTCAAATACTTCTTGATGTTGTCTATTTTTGAGTCTGTGGTTTTTTGGGTATTGGTATTTTATCATGTATTCAAAACTACAGGCATTAGTTCAAATCATCGTGTATCTTGTTATCTGGGTTTCTGGGCTTTTTTTGTCTGTACCTAACTACCTATATGCATATGTTAAATGTATTTGTTTTATTTTAATGTGCATTTTGTTATTTGGGTTTGTGGGTTTTTGTTATTGTTCATGTACATGCATGTGCTCATCATAATGTTTATTAGGTCGTAATCTGTGATTCGTTTATGCTATGTGTTTTTTGTGTTTTTATCTTTTGGGCTTTCTGATTTATTCAGTTACATGCATGGGTTGATCTTATTTATTTCATACACACGACACAAATTTATGAACACTAAGATTTTAGCTGCTTTTAGAAAGTTTTTATACTGTGATTCAGGGAGATAATTCCTTTTCTGATCTTGTTTGTATGTGTATGTGTGTGTGTTTATATATATGGTACTTGCAAGATGGTAAGGAAAACAAATTCTAATGGACATTTTGGGTACAGAGTGCATGTAACATGAGAATGGCAGGGATTGAGGATACGGCAGAGTTGCTTGAGAAGCAATTGGCATCAGAGTTATCAAAAATGACATTAGCGGAAGCCTTGACGCTTGCTAGGGCATTCAGTCATTATCTCAATTTGATGGGTATAGCCGAAACCCATCACAGGTAAATCTGAACTCTCTTATCCTTTTGTTGATATATCATAAGTTCAATTAGTCAGCTTTCATTTCAATGGCTGGTAGTTGGTACTATAGAGATTTGAATTAAATTTGAACTCCAATGATTATGAATGTTCTGTATTCATCTAGATGCTACAATAGTTCTGTCATTGATTTTTAAATTCTTTGAAAGTGATAATAATCCTGAATTGATACTTTATTTCTGGATTGCTACACTTCTTTATGTTTATACTCATGCATAGCTTCCCTTAGTGGCCTCTTGGTTACAGGTTTTTTTTTCCCCATTTCGTTTTGAAAACAATACTCTGCACTTTTTCGTGTCTAAAAAATGACCATGAAATTCCTTTATATTATTCAAAATCCGAAAAAGTTGTATTTTAGTGGACTGTTTCAATTAGACGGTGTTATAAATCCCTCAAAAATGTTTTACAGAGTAATGTTCTCTTATGCAGCAGAGTACGAAAGGCGCGGGATGTGGTACATTTATCAAAATCTTGTGATGATACGTTCAATCAGCTGGTGCAGGGTGGAGTTTCCACGGATGAGCTTTACAACACTGTTTGCAAGCAGGTCTAGTATTATTTTCTCGTGTCCTTTTAGTTTTATTTGTTCATATATATCATTTCATTGCAGCATACGAGGAGTTGTGGGATTTTATTTGTTACTTTGACGAGTTGGTTTCTTTCTGTTGCAGGAGGTTGAGATTGTTCTCACTGCTCATCCCACACAAATAAATCGAAGAACATTACAATATAAACACCTTAGACTTGCTGTAAGTTTTTTGTAATGATCTTTCATACATGTGTAAAACTCTGTTATTTAACTTTCTGCGGTGGACATGGCTTACATTCTAAGTTTTTTTACAGCATCTTTTAGAGTATCGTGACAGAAAAGATCTTGGGAGCGAAGATAAAGAAATGCTAATAGAAGATCTGGTGCTGTCTCTTCCTAATAAAGTTTGAGAAATTTCTCCCAGTGTTCCTTAGGATCCTTAATTCTTTCTGGATTTTGTAGGTCAGAGAGATCACTTCATTGTGGCAAACAGATGAGCTTAGGCGCCATAAACCTACACCAGTAGATGAAGCTAGGGCTGGTAAATTCATCGAGTTTTAGTTACACAAAAACATCAATCCTTTGGTTCTATCAAAACATCATGTATATTATTCTTTCAGGATTACACATCGTGGAGCAGTCCCTTTGGAAAGCTGTACCTCACTATTTACGCCGTGTCAGCAGTGCTCTGAAGAAGGTTTCGTTCAATCTCAATTTCCTGGTTCTTTTAATTCGTATACCATATTTTGTGGCTTTTAATTGGTCTCTCACGATTTTCTCTGCATTTCTTTTTCTAGCATACTGGAAGGCCACTCCCATTGACATGCACACCAATAAAATTTGGATCTTGGATGGGTGGTGATAGAGATGGGAATCCAAATGTAACAGCAAAGGTTGGTTACCAACATTTACTTAATTTCGTTGTTTGCATCTCACTGGTACAGTTGTATGGAAGGAACTCTCCCCAATAATTCAAAAGATCATATATCTTTCTAGAAGCATGCAATCTTTTATTTGCAAATTGATCTCTGATATTGATAGATGATCCATGTGATACAATAGCGAGGTGTGTCTCACAAAGAGTAACTTGTGTACATTTTGGAAATGGAATGGGGCATTCGACATGGATGAGCTAAACTATGTTCTGAAAATGCCTTCTTCCCAGACTGTATTGCAAAAATTGAACAGCCCAAACAAGATTTTATTTCCCATCCAATTCACGTCCCCCTTTACAGAAATTTTACTAGTATATAAATAGGAGTTAAGATTTGAGCCTTGATTAACAACTTCAGAGGAAAACATGGAATTTTGAGTCATACTTTAATTCCGAAGTTGCCAAAGTGAGTAGCAATTTTAGAATCCTTACTGGAAGAACATTCTTGAGCATGTGGTCTTAGTTTCACACAGTATGTTGTATTAATTGTAGTATCATGTCCATTAAGCCATCATCTCATTGCGAGGTAAATTCTCAATTGTTTCAGGTGACAAAAGATGTCTCCCTTTTATCCAGGTGGATGGCTATTGATCTCTACATACGGGAAATTGATAGCCTCAGATTTGAACTGTCAATGAATCAGTGCAGTGATAGATTGTCAAGACTGGCACATGAGATTTTGGAAAAAGGTCTGGCATGTCCATGTTCTTTCAAACTTTCTCGGGAACTTCTTCTGAATATAGCTGTTGATATCTATCAGTCTCTGTACACATATCAATTCATGACTTCTAACTGGCTTATATTTCTCACCTTAAATAATTAACAACAAAATTACAAATAAAAAATTGCCAAGATAAAAATCAAGTCAGCTGGCCGTCCATATATACTTGTGTGTGTGTGTGTCAATGATTGCAGGTTAAGTTGTCAGCTGAAACAAGTAAACTAATGTGATAATTCCCATTTCTACTTGAATTTTTTTCGCCCGAAATTTCAGTTGATCATCTTGAACGGTAATTGAATTGATAGCTTAGAGCGATCAACTGGAAACTGATATTTCATTTCAAAGATCATAATTGTTGAAACATGTGAGGTCAGGTATGTGATGGCATGAATAAACAAAAAAAATGACATATCTAAATAGGGGACTATGGGATTAGAAAGTGACCAATGTTTTGGAATTAAAGAATGATTGAATAATGATTTTGCAAGGAATACTACTTGAGTCTGAGGTGGCAAGGTTATTGTGTGATGATTTCCTTATTAATTTTCGCTTGATTGATTTTATTGAAATATTCGATCCTTGAAAACTTACCCAATTTGACATTCTTGTGCAAACTCATTTTTTTCTGGCATTTTTCGATTTAATACCTTGTTATGAGAATCTGTATGTGATCTCTCTGGAAATGAAACACTTGTTCCTGATTGCCAAATCATCTAGCTCAACATGGTCCACAAATTAAGCATGCTACATAGTTGATGAAAGAAGGAATTAACTGGAGATACAGAATGTGGTATTTACATGAAATCTTCTGTGTTTAGTGTCTCTCTTCTCACAGTAATCAAGCAATCTGACATTGGTTCTGCTAAGCTATCCGTCCTAAAGTATGAATGCACTATCTCTTTTGAATATCACAAAACTCCAGCTGCAACACTAGGGAGCTACACTTTCCCAAAGGAAAAAAAAAACACTAGCTAGCTGCTTCTTTGGTTTGATGCTGGCTCAAATTTTCTCCAGAAGCTCTATCAGAGGATCGACACGAGAGTTGGAACCAAACACTAAGCTGGAATCAATCGAAGCATCACAGCCAACAAGCTCCCTCGCTTCCTACACAACTTCCAGCTCGAGCTGATCTACCCTCTTGCACAGGTTGAACTATTTGTGCTGGCACTCTTCTGTTTCTCTATCTGAGGCATATTCACACTTTGTTTTGTTTCTTTTTCTTTTCGGTCGTTAATGGAATCTCTGAGTTGGTTATATGACAAATTGCCACCGGTGGTCACAAAACTCCCACTTTTACTTTGTTTCCATGATGCTTGTAAAATTTTCATTTATTTGTCTTTGGGATTGTTCCAGTCACCCAAGATTCCTGTATCTGCCACAGTTATTTTAGGCAAGTTTCTTACACTGTTTTATTGATCTCTTTAATTATGGCTTTAGTGAGATTCCAAATCTAATGCCTTTTGGCTTTAGTGAGATTCCAAATCTAAAGACTTTTGGCTTTAGTGTGTAATGTCAGAAGGCTTTCTGTTGTAAATTACTACTACTCTCAATGACTAAAGTTCAGCTTACATGTTTCTTCAAGGATATGTTGGGTCAGTGCCTCGAACTTCCTAACTAATGGTTCCTTGTATTTTCTAACAGTTTCCATTACTAGTTTGCCGACATCCTTATCATGAACCTTTATGTAATGTGTTGATCTAATATTTATTTGATCTGGTATTTATGTTGCTGAATATGAATGATAATTAGCAGTTGTTAAGAACATAAATGTTCTTTTGTAGAATGCAATGACGTGGAATCTCACTATCCTCGACTGGATCTTCCTGGAACAGAGTACAAGCCATTGAATCGTCAGGTGATGCTAGTTCTAAGACTTCTAATATTTTTGTGGCAGTTCATTACGTGTTCTGTCCAATGCTAGTCCAGCATTTCGTTATATATTTTAAGTTAGAAAACTTTTTCTGTTCTTTACAGGATGGTCAAAATTCATCAAGGCTGGATTCTTCATTCCAGGATTCCCATATACATCTTCCGAAAACTTCTGCAAATGGAAATATAGCTAATTCTAGCAATGCTCAGTCAAAAATGGGAGCACGTGCCGCTTCTTTCAGCTCTAGTCATCTCCTTGCTCAGAGGAAACTTTTTGCTGAATCTCAGATTGGAAGGACCAGCTTCCAGAAGCTTCTGGAACCAAGCATTCAGCCTGGAATTGCTCCATATAGACTTATTCTTGGGAACGTAAAAGAAAAGGTACTCTTCTATATTTGTGCTGCACCAATGATGATTACTATGCAGTGGTGAGCTATCTGTGACTGTGGCTTTTGTAAAATCCACATTGCACTGGTTTTGATAATTGATAACATTGCCTGTGACCAGAAAAAAGGGTGCACCAATTTTATAAAGAAAATTGCCAATTGTAAGTCCTCTATGTTGCATATAGATTGAATTTTGATGGAAGGCTTCAGGGACAGCTAGAATTTAGGTTCAGGGTGGGCCAAAACATGGACAAAGAAACTTCACCAATTAATATAAGCTATTAAAGTTTTGGTCATATCTTAAGTGCATATATAAGAAATATATCAATAATTAAACTAACACCATTCAACCTTAACAAATATGGAACAAAAGAAAAGATGCAATATTTGTGCCTTAATGTGTTACACCTCCATCATCAACTTGACGTTATTTTATGTCCCGAGGGTAATCTATAACTGATTTTCTGTGTAAAATTTTTGAGCGATTTCTTTTTTGATATACATATCAAAGAGTCCACAAATAAATTATCATTTATTTTATTAAAAATCCTATGTTTGAGAACATACATAGCCAAAAATGATCTCCATACCTAACAGGTATCAATGCTTTCAATGATCACTGAAATTACGACATAACTTAATGTATTTTTTAACTTGTTCAAGAAATGGGTGAATAAGAGGTGGATGAAGTTAGCCTTTTTATGGCAATCACCAAACACTTCCACATGCTTGGGTCACCAAAAGAAAGGTAAAAATTAAAGGGGGCACTAACTGAAAATATCATTAGTGTCTTGTATATGCAATACCACTTATAGGTGTTAATCCAAATGGCAGGGGGCACGTGCCCACCTTGGACTAATAGTAGCTCCGCCACTAGAAGCCTTTCAAGAACAAGCGTCATTGGGACATACTTTACTAACTTATTATTACGTTGTATGATCTACTAGGCTGTAGCTGATCATACTTCTAATGGAACATAGATTGATAAAAAAATATGTTATTTGTTAAAACATTAAGGTCAGCCTTTTGTTAGGTTGTATTTGTGTGGAAAGATGAAATGCTATGGTTATTGGAATCATTTTGCATCCAATAAGCTTTGTTGAGTTGAATTTTTGTGATATAAGCATTTCATCCAGTGGAGCTTATCAGATGAGAATTCAGTTGTCGACATGTCAAATGTGAGAATGTGTTTTTTAAGAAGTCCACCTTTTGAAGTGGGCTCTTGGCCCTTTTGTCTACTCCTTGATATTTTTCAATTTGCTTCTTATTATCTTTGTTAAGACAGCTTGTATCTCATATTGCATAATTAGGACCATAAATGTTGGTTTATATACTTGAGGGGTTATCTCATCCATTAGTAATTGGTCTTTTGTGTTGGATGTTCTAGCATGGTATTAGAGCCAGACTTTGAGTGGTCAGTGAACCAAGTCCCCATTTGAATTTTCTGGTATGCATAGTTGTTTATTTGTTTGTTGAGCGCATGTTCAAGCCTGGGTCCCACGTGAGGGAGGCTGTTAAGAGAGCTTGTATCCCACATCAAATAATTACGACTGCAAAGGTTGGTTTACATGGCCACTCCACTATTGCCAATTGGTTTGGGGTTGGATGCTCTAACAATCCTCGCTTGATGATTAGTCGAAATGACGGAGTAATGTAAGTGTAACAAACCATCCAACTAATGAAAGTTATAGAACTCAAAACTACAATTTGGAGAAGCTCAGACTAATAAATGTTGCAAAACCAAAGACTATAATTAGCTTTTGATTTAGGAAAAGCACATGCTGCTGGACAGAAAAGATTTTTCCGAATGTGAATGTATAAATGGGTAATAAGCTTGAGGATGCTAATATAAGATGAACAAAAAGAGTAGGGAAGCTAGATTTAGACCAGAAATGCATAGAATGTAAACCGAAGGAGCTTCCAGTCTTGCAGCTGCAAATGGCTGATAAACAATGCTGATGAGAGGTGAGTTCTTGTTGTTGACTTTGTGGAGGAGCAAGGATATGGTATGCTATATGAACCAAAATTGTGTATTGTGTTGGGAGAAAGACCTGTGATCCAGGAAGATAGCGTCAACGCTTTTCTTATGGGTGACTCATACTTAGGAAGCAACACCTATAGATTGCTTCTTTTTTTTTTTCCCATTGTTCCCTCACTTCCTTTGCCTGTAATTCAGCTTATGAAGACACGGAAGCGGCTGGAGCTTCTTCTAGAGGATCTTCCTTGTGAACAGGATCCTTGTGATTTTTATGAAACATCAGATCAACTTTTGGAGCCACTTCTTCTATGCTATGATTCTCTGGTATGCAATAAAATCTATCTCATATTACAGCTAGCAATTTGAATTGCACAGTAATAAAAGCATAACAACGGTTTAAATTACTACAATCTTCCTCCAATTTCATCTAATGACATAGAATTCATTCCAAAACCGCCCAAAAACATCTTTTTTGCACAGCTTCCAATGTTAGACAATTCAACTAACACGCTTTTGAATATCAGACAACCCCACTATTCCAAACCTATATTTCTCTTCTCTCTTCCCTCCCTCCATCTTATTTTCTTTCTATTTACTTTAATTTTAAATTGTGTAATTAAAGAAAATAATAAATTACAATTTAAAATATAATCGTTGCACGATCAATGCCCAATTTTTGGTATTACAGACTGTCTTCAGACATGGGGTTATTTTTAGTATATATATACCAACATATTCTTGCACATATGGCCTGCTCCTCCCCGCTGTATCTAACCCCATCCCAGCCCCCATGGACACCCACCACACACTACATGCAGCAAAAGAAAGAAAAACAAAAGATTTATGAAGAATAACAACATTTTTTGCCAATGTGATACCCTGATGTTTTGCAGCGATCATGTGGTTCTGGGGTTTTGGCTGATGGTCGGCTTGCTGACCTAATCAGAAGAGTGGCTACGTTTGGGATGGTTTTACTGAAGCTTGACTTGCGTCAGGTGTGTTTTAAACTGCAGGCTGTAACTTGTTCAGGTAATTTGTTATGACTAATTTTGCTATTTACCAGGAATCTGGTAGACACTCTGAAGCACTTGATGCAATTGCCAGATATCTGGATATGGGTACATACAGTGAGTGGGATGAAGAAAGAAGACTGGAATTTCTAACAAGAGAGCTGAAAGGGAAGAGGCCTCTGGTTCCTCCAACGATAGAGGTAAGGTTATACTGTCATATTAGACTAATTGTGAATTGTGAAAACGTTGACTTGTTATCCTTTGTAGGATGAAACACTATTAAGGATTTCTGTTTTTAGCATCAAAATTATGACAACCGTGGTGAAAGTTCTTTGGTATACAACTATCCTCCCCCTCCTCCCCCCTTCTTTTCTTTAGATGGAAAGGAACAACTGCCTTTTCCCCCTTTTTATCATTAAAGGGTCCAACTAGATCCAGTGTAGTACCTATCAATCAAAGTCATTATGTGGCTCTGGCGGTGAAGAGGTGCAATGGGTTTTGGGTAGCATTCCAGTTTGAAGAGGGAAGTAAATCTTATATTTCTTTTCAGCCTTTGTGCGAGCAATGCTACAAGTTTAGGTGTGTAAGTACTCCCTGTCTTAGGAGAGAAAATCTACGTGACAGTCTTCTGCCTTTTGTTGCACACTTCGGCTTCCAAAGAGTAGGATTTAGTCCAAAAGAGTCTAGAACTGAATTTAATTCCACGGTCAGTTGTTATATAGGGACGTAAGTTGATACCAGAAAGGATGATGCGAAAACCAAAAGGTGGATTCCTGGATGCATTAATTGCATAATGGGTTCAATCACAATCTGTGTCACCCTGTTCAATGCAGTAGACGTATTATGATAGCAAAATGATGTGCTTATGGTTGCTAGTACCTCCTTCCTTTGTTTTCCTCGAGCCAATATTCTCCTTGATAGCATGGTGACACCATTTGGAAATCATGCTAAGAAATTTCATAAAATGAGTTGAGAATGGTGTAGGTGATGATTTCTTATGAAATTTCCACATTTTTCTTAATGTCTCGGGTTGGATTATGGTAGTTCCTTGCTGTGCATTTTCTGCACACCATGGTGTCTGTGAAAGTTGTTTGTTATATTTTCTAGATCAACTTTATCTTATTTTTCCCCTCATCTTCTCGAATGGATTTTTCCAGGTTGCCGCTGATGTTAGAGAAGTCCTGGATACCTTCCGAGTGGCTGCTGAGTTGGGAAGTGATTCCCTAGGAGCATATGTGATTTCTATGGCCTCAAATGTATGATCAATTAAAATTTACATAGTTGATATTTCATGTAGCTTTTCACACACATTATTGTTTCTTTTTGCCTTATGCAATTACCAGTAATATTGCCTATGCTTGCTAATTGGCAGGCAAGTGATGTCCTTGCTGTGGAGCTTCTCCAGAAAGATGCCCGTCTTGCGATCTGTGGGGAGCTAGGTAGACCATGCCCTGGTGGAATGTAAGATTGCACCCCGTATCTCTTGAAGTATGCAATGACAATGCTTGAAACAACTTTGTCTGCTTTGGGATCTCTGTTAGGTGTTCTAAAGTGACATATGTGGCAGCACACACACACACACACACACACACACACACACCCATAGTCCACCTGTCACATCTAATAATTAATACGGCCAAGGTTGGTTTATATACTTGAGGTGTCACTCACCCATAGTCAATTGATTATGGGT